TGTACCTTCGAGGTGTATGTATGTTATTAATTTCAGACATTTACTTCATTAGAGCTATTGAAGGAGATAAACAATGCTCAGCTTTTGTTTGCCTTTCATACATTTTTTGTGCATTAAACACACCTGGTCTTTCAGAATGTACGTCTTTGATAGGATTTGACAAAAATCTAGGCTACACCACTGCAGTAAACATACAGTTATTTCCAAAATTTGTCCCTATTAGAAGTTCACTATATACTCATAGCTTTGGCTGCACTCGTCTTGTGTTTTTCCAGCTGATTGGAGAAATGTTTTGAATTGGAGTCACAAATGAATAATTTTTTTGGGACATGCAGCAGGGATCAGTTTCTTTCTGTTTGTTGGCTTCTCTTCTGAAGTGTATTTTTTTGTGTTTTTTCTTTTGTGTCTCTGTTTGTTAATTGTATAAATTAGTATAAAGTGCATGTTTTTGGTGCTTTTAGTATAAACATGAAGTCAAAATTGAACTGCATAAATCAACACTGTAGCATCAATAAAAAGATCAAAATTGATTCACACAACGAACTTTGTAAAAGGCCGATCTCTCCTGAAGATTCTCTGCCCACTTTTTTACTCTCATCTGGCACCATCTCTCCATCATTCTTGCTGTGAGTTACACCGTTAAACCTCCCTGTCCCAGACAACCAAGACCCTTTTCTCTGGTCAGGGAGACAACTTAATCACTGACTTTTTTTTAACAATCATTAAATTAAAAATGAACAACTTTAGAGCATATATATATATTATTATTATTATTATTATTTTATTAACTCTCCCACCATTTTTGTAAGCTATTGGGAACATTTTGAACTTTAGAGAACATCAATTTTAAACCAAGTGCCAGGCTCCTCCACACCATACTAGTGTGATGGATATCCAGCCCAGTTCATGAAACCCTTCCTGAGCAAACTTCTGGATAAACTGCTGGACATGCAATAATTCTACTTAAACTGTAACTGATTACTCATTACAAGTAATGGATTAAAAGGAACATCATCAAGGGTTAGAGATTTCATTAACTGAGCATTAATACAGAATACTTAGATTGTACAATGAAGTTGGTGGATTTCTTCCTCTCATAATCTTTTTCAAATTAACACACAGATCAGCCATCTTGGTGTAGCAATCAAGACAACCCTGGGTGTGAAACTCACACATTCCTCACAGGAAAGTTTCCTTATCTGATCCCAGGACACGGGATATAAATCTTTCCAGACTTGTTTGCACTTTCAGGTTACCTAAATGACCCGACCGGAGGTTGACTAAACATCTGACTCTTCACGATTGGTCAATTCGGAGAACAGAGACAGAGTTTTTTTTTATTACCTTTCAAACTGACCTCATTGCTGACCATCTAAATAAACATTCACGCTTCAACCCAGATCTCCCATTTGAGATTTACCATCTTAAAGTGTGTGAACATACGGACCCCAGGATAAGGGGGGACACTGACCTCCAGACCTCGGTCGTAAAACCCTGCTCGACCATACACTGATAAAGACTACATTCCTTTGGTGAAAGAATACAAATGACTGATCATGACATCTTATGCATTCAGCAATGTACTAATCTGTCTAATCATGAAATTTGTGTTAAAATGAGGTGTTTCCCGTTCTTCTATGTGCTCCAGAAGCAAAGTTATCAATCTGATAGAATAAATCCTTTATTCTTCAGTTTCTTTAGACCAACAGCTTTTCAGACTGTTTCTTGAACTTTTAAGAGTTAAATTTATCGACTATGAATCGTAAGTTTTCTCTAAGTAACAGAAATAGTTTAGAAATGTTTGGTTTATATTTTAGTTGTTTATTTAGTATTTTTAACCATTAGGTGGTTATAATGTCATTGAATAACCTGAATGTGAGTATTTAGAATCCATTATTAATCATGATGAAGTTCATTCACGTGTGTTTACTCTTTTGTTGTTCACAGTTTCCATGTGTTACTATCTGTTTCATTTCAGAGTAATTTAGCATGTTCAATGTGATACTTGAAACATAATGAGAATGTTTGATGTGATCCTACACTTCATTCATATGTGTTTAGTATCAAATTATTTATCATGAAACCAAGCATTCAATGATATTAATCATAGTGAGTGAGTATCAGATCTGACTCTTTTACCAGCCAAAAGTACAAGTTAGATCAAATAATCAGAGATCCGAGTTCTCCTCTGCTTGGAGACCACACGAACCCTCCTCTTTCTCCTCACACACACACACACACACACACACACCGGAGACACTCCCAGTGTGAGAAGATAAAACCAGTGGAGTGGGGTTGCTCTGGCGCTTATTCCTCTCACCCTCTTATCTGCTCCTCTCTTAGGCCCCTTACTCTTGGGCCCTTCTCTTCTGTCCACACCCTTCTGTGGTCCTCTTTTTCTTTGTTTTCTCTTAGAACTTTTTCTTAGTCTACTAAGTTTTACGCCACGTGTTGATTCACGTTGATTTTTCTTTAACATCGTCTTAGTTCAAGTTTTGAAACTTCAACTTTTTGTGCACATAGCAATTCAAGATTAAGCCTTTGATTGATTTTTCTTTAATTTCGCGAAGCCATTTTTGAAAGTTTTCTCTGCTCGAGTCTTGTTTTTCTGAGTTTTCTGCGTGATTTCAAAGTCACCTCTGAACGCGACCCAGCAGGCCCAGGTCATCCTCTGTGCCAGAGTTTTTGAGTGAGACCAAAGAAGCATCCAAACGAGCATCCACAGGATCCACAGGCGCCGGCTTTACTTCAGGCCCGAGTGCTACAACTCCTGGCCCATTCTTCGGCTGACTTCAGTCGTCTTCTGAGCTGAACCGCTCGAACCGCCGGTAGCCCCGGACCTTCGGAACCTGCTCCACCTTCTCCAAGGACCAGTCTCACTTAAGTATGCAAACCTCCAGAGCTCCAAAGAGGGCTGATGCTATCTCATGCGTTCATAACTCAGATACCCACTTATTCTGGTAATCTTAGACTCCTCCAAATCCACATCCGAGTTTATCTCGACACCAAGGTTAGTGTAGGTTAATATGTTAGCGCATATTCACTCACTATCATTAACTTTAGTGCTCCTAGCCTGACTCAGAATCTTTATTTATTCACCTATTATTATTTATCCTCATTATCTTATCATAATTTATTGCATGTATGTTGTACCATCATTTATCCTGTAATAAACAGATCATTATTTTTCTAAGTTCCTGTCTGTTAGTGTTCTTCCAGAAGTGGAGTCCCTGAAATGAGACATTCGACTTAAGATATGAGACTGATTAATTAAAACTGACTTGATGTTTGATTTCTGAATTAAACTTTTGTTTTCTTTATTTTCCCACCATTAAGGGTGGGTGGTGCCCTTTTCAACGAGTGCATAAATGTCATATTTTGAGATTATTAATCTTCAGACATTTATTATAAATTCCAATCGCTACAGTATTATTTTGGTGCGTCCGTGTGAGGCTCATTTCAAACCGTATTATTTTGGTGCTCATTTCATTTCGCTACATTGGTTTGCTCTTTTTTTTTAAATTTTTTTTATTTATTTACTTTTTATTATGACATCATGTTTACATTAATTCCAAGACAATGTAACTTCTGCAGTCCTACAAGTCCAAACAGATAAACCTGAGGCTTGAAAACCATTGTTCTTGTTCTCACATGGTACCATCTGCTGAGGGGACCCTTTCTAGAGCAGGCTGGTGAGCTGTGGTTGTTAATCTGTGGAAAGAAACAAATATCACTTAGATTACTAAGGTGGCAAGCAGCCTTCAGAATTTAATGCCACACAGGGCTGAATAACTTGGGTTTTTAAGATTTACTACTTAATATGCAATGAATGCATAAGCCGCATAGAGTCTCATTGATATCTGTGCTTTTCCCTATAAAAGCAGCTAGCTTTAACCCCAAATGGCTTTAGATATAGACCAAAAAAATAATGATAGAATAGATATATAGATTCAGCCATCTAAAACAGTAGGCTAAAGATTTCAAGAATTTCCATTAGACTCCATGTGGTAGTCACTGAAGACAAAACAATCTGTCTTGGTCATACAAATGGAAGCACATTACACAGTGACTGGAGCCGAAAATCCAGGAGCATCAAAACCTGAAACAGAGGTTTAAATGTCTGCCAGCATAAAGAGTTTAAAGTGGACATTCAGCAGAAGTAAAGCAGCTCACCAGTCTTCCTTTTATAGGTAACGATACTACACGTTTCACCAGAATCATCCTGCAGTTAAAGAGGAAGGAGACAGTTTTTAAGATGGGACATTAACCATCATGAGCCTTATCATCCTCATCATCCTCATCATCATCATCATTGATTTCATCACCATTACCACCATCATCATCATTATCATCACCATCATCTTCATCATTAACTTCTTCATTATCATCATGCTCAGACATTTCTTTTGACCCTCTGGAAATCATTACTGCAGAGCAAACTTGGAATTTTACACTAAATTGTGTTTATAACACTGACACTGTCTTTGACTCCGACATGCATATGTACTTTAGAGAGTGTGCACGGTGAAGTTTGATGACATTTCAGACTGTAGTTTTGGGCTGTAGAGCTGAGGTGAAGCAGGTGTGGAGACAGCAACAAAGGTGTCCTTGTCATCAAACAGCTCCACACAATAACGAGCATTGTGAACTCTTACTACCATCTCATAGTTTCATGTGCTTAATATCAGCACATTGTCAAAACTTGGGTGCTGGGTGTAAAATGATGACTGTGTAAAGTGGATGATAGATTGTGCTTGCACACCAGATGTACAATTATGCTGTGATTTTCAAGACTGAATAACTGTAAAAATCTTTAAGATTACTAATATCTGACATTAAACAAATCAATATAAACATGATGATAGTTACAGGCTTTGTGCAGGAAAATGTTTTCCATCATAAATTAAGAAAACATAGACTTTCAAATGAATATTAAAAAAAATGTTCTGACTTAATCAGACTCAACACCTTTTTTTTGAAGAACTGCAGAAATCAGCAAGATGGCACCCACAGTAGACCCACAGCCAGCAGCGATTGAAAGGTACTTCCACATCCAGGATACTGCTTTACCACAACAGAAATCAAAAGCAAGTGTCAATTCAGCTTAGCCTCCTCTTACAGGGATACATGATAACACAGTGACACCATCCTAGCACTGCCATACATAGTGCTGAAATGTATGTGTTTAAATCAGGAGATAACTAATTGGAAATAAAACAATTATTTTTAAAAAAAGGGTGGGTGGGGGGGTATGATAATCCATGAATTAAAGGGATACGCAGACAGCCCCTCGAGAGATGAATGTTGCCGACTACTTGCTTTTCTATTCATACCAGCTTCAGCAACAACTGCACAATAGCAATACACAATGCTCTACATCTCCACGCACAAACCTCAACTAAAAAGCCTCTCAATAGCCACAAATAATGCTCAGAACAGCACCTAACTTCATCAACAGTACATATAGGGTTCCAGCCATAGTACTAGTCATCAAACTGCCTGAATTCTTTGGCAAGGAGACCAAATACAATTCACCCACTCTCTTCCAGCAGCTGTTTGTTTGGGGGGGGGGGCCCTGACAAGTCGATCACCGAGTACAGTTGAGTTTCGCAGCTCAAGGAAGAACATTTATGGTCTTTTCTTTATGGAAATGCAATTAGACCAAGATGCTAAGGCAGAAGAACTACTGCATCTGCAGTGCAAAATTATTATTTTGATTATTATTACCTCATGGAAATAATACGCTGCACTAAAAAAAAGTGTGATGGCTAGTACTATGGCTGGGATCCTATATGTACTGTTGATGAAGTTAGGTGCTGTTCTGAGCATTATTTGTGGCTATTGAGTGGCTTTTTAGTTGAGGTTTGTCTGTGGAGATGTCGAGTACTGTCTATTGCTATCGTGCAGTTGTTGCTTAAGCTATCTAACTCTGTGGTACGGTGTGTTTGACCATAATTTAAATTTATGCTGGAATATCCCTAAAGTGAGTGGGAAGAATAAGTCAATTATCTTTCATCATTTAATCACAGTGTATGACACTGTCATTCTTTCATTCTATCATCTTTTTATTGAAAGTGTTTTAACATTTTCATTCATTTGTTTGTTTCATGGATCAAACAACCCTTGACTGTTTCATCACAAGGCAGGTTAACTGTGAAATGAATTGCCTTTTGGGGGTCAATAAATTTGTCTGATTCTGAATCAGAACTGTAACATAATGTGGTTTTCAGATCCAAATAAATCAAATGCAAATGTATCTATGTTAATCCTGACTTGATGTGTAAGTACTCGGGCATACTCACTGGAAGCTGTTTCCATCCCAGTTACAGGGTCAGAGACATCTTCAGGATCAGTCACAGTAACTGTCAGGCCTATGTGCAAAGCAGAAACACATTTTTCAAACATCCACACTGACTGTTGTAAGCGTTTTCATGCAGTACAAAGATTATTGGTCTACCTGTCAACTTGGTTGTGGATGTTGGTTCCATCGCGGTTGTACTGGTACCTGCATCTGCTAATTCCAAAAAGCATAATTGCATCAGCACTCTATCTCTCTAGACAAATGAGGCCCGAACTACACGAAGGAGGATATATTTCAAACCGCACATATTTGTGTCCGATTAGGCCTCCCTACCACACCAAACCGGGAGTTTGGAGCACTGAAACCAGATAAATCTGAATCTGGAAAAATAAAAAAAATATCCGTATCCCGTATCCGCAGTGGATTCGTGTGGTCGGACTTTTACGGATCGATGACGTCAAACCGCAGCTCGCGCATGCGCATTAAAAAACGAAAACAATAACAACAAAGATGGCGGACATACAGGGTATTCTTTAGGTTTGTTTTGCCCTTTTGGGGCTAATTTCAGCCTTGCAAGTGAACCTTATTTTATACAATTACATCCACCAGTCAGTCAGCTCACAGAGGCGTCTGCTGCGCCCAATACTTTTTTTGGAGAGCAATCGTAACGTTAATGTTAGGCGTTTTAAAGTTCGCCAGAAGCGTAAGTTTTGGGTCAAACCCGGTCGGACCAGCAAGTGGCGGGACAACTTCGTTAGAGGGGCTGTGCCTGCAGATGAATGGAAGCTAAACTTTCGTATGTCAAAGCGGCACCAGATAGGATTGAGTTTGAAGCCTACGTGTGGACACAGATATTTTTTTGAACTAACACGTGTGGACAGGTACATTTATTTAGACGGGAGTACAAAAATATCCAGATAAATAAATATCCGCCTTCGTGTAGTTCGAGCCTAAGAAGAGGCAGCAGCCAAGTCAGCCTCTGCTTTCCAGAGTCTGTCAGAGAGGATGTTTCTGACTCACCTAGAGTCTTTCTGACAGTGGGGACAGTCAAAATCATGACCAGTAAATGATTTGAAAAAAACATTTAGGCATTAGCGCTGCCTATGTGAATTTGTATTTCTTTCTTAAATTTCTTTTAATGTTTTAATTTTTTTCTTTTTTTTTTTTTGGGGGGGGGGGGGGGGGGTCATTAGACAGAACAAGACATAAAACAACCACAAAATTAAAGATGACGGCCAAAGTTCGGGAGGTTCATATCCTGCCCTGTAAGTGAATGAATGATGTAAAGCGCTTTGAGGTCACTGACGAAAAGTGCTTTAAAAAACTGATGCATTATTATAATAACATTATACAACAAGATACAAGATGCCTTATTGTCATTGCACTTATGCACAACGAGATTGAATTTACAGATGGGAAAAGAACATTCAACCCTATATATATATATATATATATATATATATATATATATATATGTACTACAGGCCAAAAGTTTGGAAGCAAGATCAGATTTGTACAAAAAAAGATCATAGTTTCATATATATAATTTGCAACACAATAAACATGACTTTTGTGTAAAGAGTAACTTATCAGAAGACATTTTGACTATAATTATTAGGTATTTGAGTAATTTTGGTAAGACTTTCTTTAAAGTAACCTCCTCTGGCTTTAACAACAGCTTGGCATATAAATTTTTTCCACAAGTTTTTTAAGGCATGTTCCAGGTATTGCATTCCAAGCTTTCTTAAGTTCATTAAAAAAGAGATGCTGATTTGTGGGACGCGCCTTTCTGACCGATCAATCCAATTTATCCCGCACAAGCTCTGTTGGAGAAAGGTCTGGAGACTGAGGGGGCCAAACCATCTTTTGAAGAACACTTTCCTCTTCTTTTTTGTCTAAGTAACCCCAACAGAACTTGGCAGAATGCTTAGAGTCATTGTCTTGCTGCAAAACAAACTTGTGACCCACAAGTCTGAGTCTAGATGGAACAGCATGGTGCTGGAGGATGGAGTGGTACTGTTCCTTCCTCATAATACCCTTTACTTCAAACAAATCTCCTACTCCATCACCTGCAAAACATCCCCATACCATGGAACTACCACCTCCATGCTGAATTGTGGGTGTAACACATGGTGCTTTTAGACGTTCACCAGTTTGTCTGCGGACATAGACTCTGCGTTTTGAACCAAACAGTGCAAACTTGTTTCTAGTCATCATGAGTCCAAGTTTTGTGAGCTTTTGCCCACTCGTATCTCTTTTTCTTGTTCTGTGGACTAAGTAGTGTTTTTTTGCAGATACACAACCCTTCAGACCAGCCTTTCTCAAACATCATTTCACGGTTGTCAGAGTTATGGGTTTTGACCTTGTCGTGTTGATTTCCTCCCTTTCCTCCCTGGAACCTACGCTCGTGTCGCAATGATAAATCTGGATGTGTGCGCCGATCTTGGCGAACACAAGGTTTTCTGGCGCCGCCAGCGTTGATACATGAGGAAAAATATCCTCATGAACTGGAAGTCTCGGAACTCCATACACATCATACACTGGAAAAATCTGCTCACAGACTACATCTCCTTAGAAAATACAAACTCCTCTGACAATAATCATAACTCTACCTGGTTATCATTCATCACTTTTCTACAATCAAGGAAGGACCCTCTGTTAACCCAGCAGCATTAATTTGCTGTGTAGATGATGACAGTCCGGGATACCTGTTTGAGATTATAGACGCCAAGGGGGAGAGGCTGAAAGTAACATTTAATAAATTGGGCTTCACATTTGGATTAGGTCTACATTTCTCAGGACTCACAAGTCTGCTGTCACATATCTGTGAGGTTGATGGACTAAACTTTGTGATTAACTGTAGATTCTTGCTCACTGCAAGTGAACTGGAGCGTCCGATGTAAGACATGTGGGGGGGTGTAAAGAGTTTGTGAACTTTTTTTTTTTTCCTTCAAGTGTTTGTATGAGCATGCTTCTATAGAAAGATTTAGGAAGAACTGCTGCTGAAATGTGCCTAAAATGCATTATTATTATTATTATTATTATTATTACTATTATTATTATTAAAATATGAATTCGTGCTGTAGCTTATTCTTGCTTACATATTCTTGCTTGCTCAATAAAGATGCGAAAACTGGCAATTTTGCTTCAGATGATAACTTTATTTGTGTACATCACACCATAGATTACAACACAACATTGTTTTATGGCTTAAAGTCATAATAGTAGCTGTACCAATCCTCAAAGGACATCTCGTCATTCATCATAAAATTAAACTTTGTCCTTCTGATCAAAACATCATTGCTCAACAGTGTGGTATCAGCTAGAGATATCAGGTCATCTCTCTCCTCCCCTCCGTCTGCACATTATTATTATTTTTTATTATTATTATTATTTTTTTGTTAATTTTATTATTATCATTATTATTACTATATGTGTGTGAGTCTAGCCTGCCTGCCTGCCTGCTTGCTTGGGTGTGCGCGTGTGTGCACGTGTGTATATATTTCCACATTGGGGACAGTGTGACCCATGAGACCTGGGATGCAGGTTTTTTTTTATTATTATTATTATTTTTTATACTGTGTGAGGACTACAGGACCTTTCACTGGGTCAAAAAGACCCCAGTCATCACTGGGTCAAAAAGACCCCAGTCAGTGTGACCCCTGAGACGTGGGATGCAGGTTTATTTTTATTTTTTTTATTTTTTTATTTTTTTACTGTGTGAGGACTACAGGACCTTTCACTGGGTCAAAAAGACCCCTGTCAATGTGGACTGGGACAGTGTGACCCTTGAGACATGGGATGTAGGTCTTAGCTTGAGGACAACAGGAGGGTTAACATTATCAATTGAAGCTGAGTGCAGACTTTTAATTGCTCTTCTTCTGCTCCAAATACAATTACTTCAGTTTTATCTTTGTTTAGCTGAAGAAAATTCTGACACATCCAATCATTGATTTGTGCAATGCACTGACTCAGTGTTTGTATTGGATTGTAGTCGCCTGGCGATATGGTTATGTAAATCTGTGTGTCGTCTGCATAATTATGGTAAGATATTTTGTTGTTTGCTCTGATTTGAGTAAGAGGGAGCATGTAAATGTTGAATAGGAGTGGCCCCAGAATGGAGCCTTGGGGAACCCCACATGTCATTTTTGTTCGCTCTGATGTGTAATTACCTAGAGACACAAAGTAGTCTCTATCCTTTAAGTAGGATGCAAACCAGTTTAGTACTGTTCCAGAAAGTCCCACCCAGTTTTCCAGTCGATCGAGTAGAATGCTGTGGTCAACTGTGTCGAAAGCGGCACTGAGATCGAGCAATACTAGGTATGAAATTTTGCCATTGTCTGAGTTTAAGTGGATTTCATTAAAGACTTTGATAAGAGCAGTCTCAGTGCTGTGGTGCAGTTGAAACCCTGACTGGAAAACGTCAAAACAGTTGTTTAGGACTAAGAAGTTGTGAAGCTGTTGGAAGGCTGCTTCTTCAATGATTTTGCTTAAAAACGGGAGGTTCGATATAGGCCTATAATTGTTCATTACTGAGTTGTCTAGGTTGCTTTTTTTTTAGGAAAGGCTTTATGACAGAAGTTTTCAGGGCCTGTGGAAAGACACCTGACAGAAGTGACATGTTGACAATCTGAAGAAGATCTGAGGCCATACAGCCTGAGCTGACTGTCTGCTTTTATTGGATTTCTTGTATTTTCTTTAAAGTCGTGCTGAGTCTCCAAGTGAGTCCAGCTTCTCACCCGCAATTCCCAGCGGCACGCAAAGAATTCTGGGATACCAATGGCTAGAAAGCGTGCATAAATGCAAGCTTAAAAACGGGGCGGGGGTAGTGTGGTTTTGAGACCGAATTTGAAGCCCGCTTAGCATTTCCTGCCAAATTGGACATTGTATGCACACTTCAAATGCTCCGTTCGATGGTGCGGTCTCTGAAATGAGACACGGCCTCAATCATTCTGACTGTGTTTCTTCCTCCAGGGTGGACCATGGTGGAGAACAGTGGTTAAAACCTGGTCTGAAGAAGTGTAAGTGTTGAATCAGCTTGACTCCTGATGACCAAACAGCAGACTGTCAGCTAACAAAGAAGAAAGCCTTCAGGTGTGTCTGATGATAACCTGCTGCTGTGTTGTGTCTTTTTCTCTCTGTCAGATTTCTGTGAACTCACACTGGACTCAAACACAGTAAACAGACGCCTCAGACTGTCTGAAAACAACAGGGAGGTGACACGTGTGGAAGAGTATCAGTCATATCCTGATCATCCAGACAGATTTGACTTCTGTCCTCAGCTTCTGTGTAGAGATGGTCTGACTTGTCACTGTTACTGGGAGGTCGAGTGGAGAAGAATGGTTTATATATCAGTGAGTTACAGAGGAATCAGAAGGAAAGGAAAGAGTGATGACTGTGTGTTTGGATTTAATGATCAGTCCTGGAGTCTGTTCTGCTCTGATCGAAGTTACTCTGTCCGTCACAATAAGATAGAAACAGACCTCGATCTCCCCTCGTCCTCTCTCTCTGAAAGAGTAGCAGTGTATGTGGACTGTCCTGCTGGCACTCTACAGTAAAGTAAAAGCGACCAGACGGAGACAGGAAGGCACGGTTAAGCTGCGCCCCGCTGTATAGAAGATGTCAATACCGTGCATGTCAAAGTTGTAACGAGCGTCAATGGGGAAAGATGTGTGCGGATAGATATTTACAAGAAGGGCTAGATAACTCGAGGCGGAGTCACCGGCGTCCCTAAACGGCGGCCATCTAACTCCAGTATTCGATTCTAGTACACTCTATGGTAGCTGAGGGAAGGTGAGTAATCTGCATGATCAAAAATACTAACTCGCTGAAATCTTGACAGATTTACAAATAGTTTTGTTTATTACAGACCTTAATAACGTGGCTATAAGTCAGGATGCTTGGACATATTGAAATGGCAGATTTTCTCAGAGAAAAAAAAGACTGAATCATGCAGCAAAGTTGTTTCACAGCTTATATCTGTTATTTCTTGCATTCAATGATAGGGAGTATAAAGCGCACCATGAGACCTCTCTTATCTCTCTAAGAAGGTTTTCTTGTGTCTGTCAATGTTTGACTGCAGGTGCTCAGGTGGTTGAGTCCAAAGTTCAGAGCTGCTCTGTGATCACATTTCCTTCCAGAAGACTTCAGTGTGAAGATGAACTCAGAGAGTCTGGACTGGATGTGAATGGTGGGGCCTTTGAAAACCTCCTGCTGTTACTTCCATCTTTCTTCTCTCTCTGCTTGGTTTCCTGTTCGAAGCTGCTGATTCATTTCACCGTCACTCATGGTCTTCATGCAGATTATTTTCCCCATCAGAAGGTAACCTAACACACTCTTTTCATCATTTCTGAACATATTTCATTATTTTAAACTCTTTTAGACACAGTCATGTTGTTCGCTTCTTTTGTTGCTTCAGTTCTTATGATGTCGGATCCATATGTTGCTCGGGTTTTCCTGGTTCTGTGGGTTCTCCATCTTTGGGGTCCTTGTGCTGAAAACGTGTATAAATATAATAAACATGACAATATGAAATAAATCACTGTTATTAATCAGACAATAATCTGTTTCTGGAGTCATGGAGGATATTTATTACAGCATGTCCAGATTATTTCTTTGCTCCTGTTTCACTCTCTTTCTCGTTTCCTCTTATTTAGTCTCTCAGATTTGAGTTGTTGTTAATGAGCAACATCAAGGTTGAATTCATTCAACAATCAAACATTCAAAACTTCAGATTTACAACCCTGATCAAACTGATTAGAGGGTTAAACTCCAGACCAGATCACACCAGATATGAAACGTCCATATCACTAAAAACCTGATTAATGAAATACAATCAGACCATGCAGAGATGCCAAGACATGGATATACAGATCATTTCTATCAAACATGCTCCAGTTACTGTTTTTCATACAACACTGAAATATAGAAGCACATCAGCAAACTCAATCCAACACTGAACTTTGAGGAGTTTCAGAAAAACTCTGATGTTTCAAACAAATGCTCTAATTTCAACAAAGACTTCAACTTTGTCTGCTGCTTTTTAAATGACCATCATCCATCAGCTGAGCTCTGATTGGCAGCTTTCATGTGGTACTTAAACCGCTCCCTGTCTTTGAAAGGTTTCTGATCCTAAACATGAGCAGAGTATTGACCTTTTTCTTTAAACCTTATTGACCAATAAAAGAACACACAGTTTGATTCAGTGTCATAAATGTGACAAAGTCCAAGTTTGAAAGAGCAACATTGATTTCAGAGTGAATTAAATTTGTTGTCCTTCATTTCAAAGGTGAACCTCATGTCATTTTTCTGAGTCTATTCCTTTGATTTGGGGTTGAGTCAAAGTTGAATTGGACTCCTTGTCAGAAGATCTCTCATGGTTGGTTCTCTCTGGAGCAGACAAAAGGAGAACTTGAATGTTTCCATATGTGCGCAGGTTTGACTCTCAGTCACATCAGATATTATCCTGGATCACTCTGAGGTTTCTCTGTCATGTCCTGACAGCAGGTCTCTGCAGGGTCCTGCAGTGTGACTGGAGCTGGACTCTGGTTCCTGGGTGTTGGTCAGTGATTTCATGTCTGTTTGTGTTTGTAGACTTTGACTGTTCAGTGATGAGAGTGTGACAGCGTCCTCAGATTAATGATGATGAACTGATGAAGGACGATCAGCTGCAGTGTTTCTCTTTGTCTTTCTGCTACAGGTGAAACAATAAGTGGATCTGGATTCACCTGGTGAGTATTTTCTTCATTCTGTCAAACATCAAACTGAAAGTTTTCACGTCTTCTTCATTTTGAACAGAACTGGACTCTGAATGGATCCAGATGAGCGCTCTAGTAAACAGGAATGACTGTGGCTCCATCTGGTGGTAGAATCTGGAATGACACTGTGGTAGAGGACAGTATGTGTCTCAGGATGTACTGACTGACTATGTTGTTGTGTTTGTGTGAAGGTGGGGGCTCTGCTATGAATCAGCGTGAGGACAGAGAGGAGGGAGCCCCTCCCTCTAAAACCACTCTGTGGGGGGAACATGAGAGCCAGACCAAAGCTCAGAGGTGAGATGAGGATCTCCAACTGTCCGTGACTCTTCTCCATGTCAGAGCTCAGCACTCACATCACTCCACCATCACTATTATTCACACTCAGACCTCTGTCTGTCTGTCTGTCTGTCTGTCTGTCTGTCTGTCTGTCTGTCTGTCTGTATGTCTAAGACCTGAATGGCAGTACAGACCAGACTCTCCAGGACCTGGACCCAGCTGTGTGTCCTTCAAGAGTGACCGGTCTATGGGTCGATATATGAATTTCAAAGTTGGACCTCAGTCTGATCGTCAAAAGTAATAATCTATAACAGCAGCACTCAAACCAGGAAGATTTTTAGTGTTCTTGTTTCTTCATCAGTGTTTGTGTTTCTGTCAGAGTCAAACATGAGAGACCAGACTCTCCTGGACCTGGACCTGGACCTGGGCCCAGCTGTGTGTCCTTCAAGAGTGACCGGTCTATGGGACGATATATGAATTTCAAAGATGGAGATATTTGTGATGAGCAAAGGTGAGCCTTTCAAACTGAACTTCCTTTTGTTGTGTGTGAAACTTTTCATCCTAACTGTGGTCAGTGTTTTCTCTGTGAAGGTGAAGATTTTTCAGGGTTTGTGTTTCTATCAGGATCCAACAGCAGTAAACAGGATCTGAGCCAGAAAGAATTGGACTCTGCATGTATCTTCATGTGTGTCCTGTGTCTGTAGGAGGATCCAGCAGTGTTTCTACCAGGATCCTCTATATAGATTCTCTCACATGTAACCCTGTGTCTCCTTATATTATATCCACTACATTAGATTCTGTTTGTTCCACAGAGTTCAGCAGCAGAGATCAGAGGTTCCCATTGGTCAGTCTGCCCAGCAGCATCAAACACAGCTGGACTCCATATTTATGGTAGGTGTAAATGTACAAACACAGCTCCTACTGATCATCAGAGCAGACACTCAGTATATTTGGAGGTTTCTGGATTGTTTCCTAATGACTCTGCAAACATCATCTCTGCCTGAATTATCTTCACACTCACAGTTTGACTGATTGAATGAAGCCTCACATTTATGACCTGCACAGAGTCAGAGGTCATGGTGGATGGTAGTCTCATACAGGCTCAGACTTTGGCAGCAGAGAGCAGAGTTCACAAACTGAGTCCAGTTTGAGGTTTAAAGAACAGAAAGACTTTGGTTCATGTCGATGACAGCTGCTGCTCTCAGCTTCATTCTAATAAACACATCACCTCTAAAGTCACTGCAGACTTTTTCTCCATGAAACCACACCAGGAGATTTCTCCAATGTGAAGGTCAGGTCATAGAAACTAGATTTGTAGAAGACAGGACCATCCACAAAGTCAATCCTGAAGCAGCATTGTGATCCAGTCTCCATGCTGGACTCTGTAGACCAGCAGGCTTTCTGTCTGTCATAGATGATCTGATGTTCAGTTCTACAAGTTCAAGTTCACATTTTGTTCTGTTCCAGCTGCTCCAGGAGAACATGATCAGCTTTGTAAAGGAGCAGCTGAAGGAGATCCAGAGAACTCTGAGTCCAAATGAACCAGAATACTTAGAGAGTCAGAGGGAGGATGAGGATGAAGAGCAGAGGAGGAGCAGAGAGGCATTTCTGAAGATCACTGTGAACTTCCTGAGGAGAATGAAGCAGGAGGAGCTGGCTGACTGTCTGCAGAGAAGTAAGAGGATATGAAGAGATTTAACATGATAGAAAGAGGAAATGGAGACAACTTGGGAGAGGTTTAGAGTTCAGACTCTGCTGTTCATATGATGCACACATTTGTATCACATCTATGAACTGAGAGAAACTGATCACAGCTGATGAGCTGAAGAGATTTCAGAGAGGAGGGAAATCAAATCCATCCTGATGTCTTCAAGAGTAAATTCATCAGACTGATTGTAGCTTCAGATGATTCATCACATTTCTTTTTGTTCATTCAGGATCTGCTGCTGCAGAGTGCACACACAAACTCAAGTCCAACCTGAAGGAGGAGTTCCAGTGTGTGTTTGAGGGGATTGCTAAAGCAGGAAACCCAACCCTGCTGAACCAGATCTACACAGACCTCTACATCACAGAGGGTGGGACTGGAGAGGTCAACGATGAACATGAGGTCACACAGATTGAAACAACGTCCAGGAAAGCAGAGCGACTAGAAACAACCATCAGACAAGAAGACATCTTTAAAGGCTCACCTGGAAGACAGGAACCAATCAGAACAGTGATGACAAAGGGAGTGGCTGGCATTGGGAAAACCGTCTTAACACAGAAGTGGACTCTGGACTGGGCTGAAGACAAAGACAACCAGGACATCCACTTCACATTTCCATTCACCTTCAGAGAGCTGAATGTGCTGAAGGAGAAGTTCAGTTTGGTGGAGCTCGTTCATCACTTCTTCACTCAAACCAAAGAAGCAGGAATCTGCAGCTTCCAACACTTCAGGGTCGTGTTCATCTTTGACGGTCTGGATGAGTGTCGACTTCCTCTGGACTTCCACAACAATGAGGTCCTGACTGATGTTACAGAGTCCAGCTCAGTGGATGTGCTGCTGACAAACCTCATCAAGGGGAACCTGCTTCCCTCTGCTCACCTCTGGATAACCACAAGACCTGCAGCAGCCAATCAGATCCCTCCTGAGTGTGTTGATATGGTAACAGAGGTCAGAGGGTTCACTGACCCTCAGAAGGAGGAGTACTTCAGGAAGAGATTCAGAGATGAGAAGCAGGCCAGCAGAATCATCTCCCACATCATGACATCCAGAAGCCTCCACATCATGTGCCACATCCCGGTCTTCTGCTGGATCACTGCTACAGTTCTGGAAGATCTGCTGAAGACCAGAGAGGGAGGAGAGCTGCCCAAGACCCTGACTCAGATGTACATCCACTTCCTGGTGGTTCAGTCCAAAGTGAAGAACATCAAGTATGATGGAGGAGCTGAGACTGATCCACACTGGAGTCCAGAGAGCAGGAAGATGATTGAGTCTCTGGGAAAACTGGCTTTTGAGCAGCTGCAGGAAGGAAACCTGATCTTCTATGAATCAGACCTGACTCAGTGTGGCATGGATATCAGAGCAGCCTCAGTGTACTCAGGAGTGTTCACACAGATCTTCAGAGAGGAGAGAGGACTGTACCAGGACAAGGTGTTCTGCTTCATCCATCTGAGTGTTCAGGAGTTTCTGGCTGCTCTTCATGTCCACCTGACCTTTACCAACTCTGGAGTCAACCTGATGGAAGAACAACAAACATCTTCAATCTCTAAAATCTTCAGTGTCAAACCAAAACTGAAACATCTCCATCAGAGTGCTGTAGACCAGGCCTTACAGAGTCTGAACGGACACCTGGATTTATTTCTACGTTTCCTCCTGGGTCTTTCACTGCAAACCAATCAGAATCTCCTGAGAGGTCTGCTGACACACACAGGAAGTAGCTCACAGACCAATCAGAAAACAGTCCAGTGCATCAAGGAGAAGATCAGTGAGGATCTGTCTGCAGAGAAAAGCATCAATCTGTTCCACTGTCTGAATGAACTGAATGATCGTTCTCTAGTGGAGGAGATCCAACAGTCCCTGAGATCAGGACGTCTCTCCACAGAGGAACTGTCTCCTGCTCAGTGGTCAGCTCTGGTCTTCATCTTACTGTCATCAGAAAATGATCTGGACATGTTTGACCTAAAGAAATACTCTGCTTCAGAGGAGGGTCTTCTGAGGCTGCTGCCAGTGGTCAAAGCCTCCACCAAAGCTCTGTAGGTGGACACATGAGAGATGAAACATTATTGTTCATGAGAGATGAAACTTTGTGTATGTGCTAATCACTGATTCTTCTTCAGGCTGAGTGGATGTAACCTGTCAGAGAGAAGCTGTGAAGCTCTGTCCTCAGTCCTCAGCTCCCAGTCCTCCAGTCTGAGAGAGCTGGACCTGAGTAACAATGACCTGCAGGATTCAGGAGTCAAGCTGCTGTCTGCTGGACTGAAGAGTCCTCACTGTAAACTGGAAACTCTCAGGTAAGTGTGAAGTTAAATATTGAAATTTGATCTGTAAGGGATGAAAAAAAAGAGAGAAAACTTAATGAGATATAAATTGAGAAACTGAAATCATTTCAGTTTTAGGAAGGACAAGACTGAGCATTCAAAGTCAGTCATTTTTTTATGTTGGCTGTTTCATACCATCAAGAGATAGACACACACACACACAAAAAAAAACAGCCGCATCAAAGAGTAAAAAAGCCTTTAGATAACATTAAAACTTGTGGCTATTTGGCTATTTTGTATATATTTTTCAATATCATCCTATTTTTTAGGTTTACTAGATGTAACCTGTCATGGGAACACTTTGAAGCTCTGTCCTCAGTCCTCAGCTCCCAGTCCTCCAGTCTAAGAGAGCTGGACCTGAGTAACAATGACCTGCAGGATTCAGGAGTGAAGCTGCTGTCTGCTGGACTGAAGAGTCCTCACTGTAAACTAGAAACTCTCAGGTCTGTATAAGGTTGAACATAAAACTTTTCTCTGCCAGATCACAAAACCACAGAAACAAAAGCATCAATAAAACAGAGAGCTACTTACTGCTCTTTTATTATAAGTGGGGTCAAGTGAAGAGACATTATTAATTCAGTCAGATCTTGTTAAGATGATTAACTAAAAGTACTGAGAGATTTTTGTTAAAGATTACAAAATGTTAAAAGAAGAAGCAAAAGCATCTACTACATTTAATTATCAATGAAACAAAAGAGCTAATTTTATTCAAAAATCTTCATGTCTTTTCAGGTTTATTGGATGTAACCTGTCAGAGAGAAGCTGTGAAGCTCTGTCCTCAGTCCTCAGCTCCCAGTCCTCCAGTCTGAGAGAGCTGGACCTGAGTAACAATGACCTGCAGGACTCAGGAGTGAAGCTGCTTTCTGATGGACTGAAGAATCCTCACTGGAAACTGGAAACTCTCAGGTCAGGTTTTCTACTGATTGGGTTTTGTAGTTGTTTGAATGAAATTGTCTGAAGTTGGTACACTTTTCCATGTTTCATATATTTTTCTGACTCCAGGTTATCAGGCTGTCTAATCACAGAAGAAGGTTGTGTTTCTCTGGCCTCAGCTCTGAGCTTCAACCCCTCACACCTGAGAGAGCTGGACCTGAGCTACAATCATCCAGGAGACTCAGGAGTAAAACTGCTGTCTGCTGGACTGGAGGATCCTCTATGGAGACTGGATACACTGAGGTATAACCAGACAGTTACCGGGTCACAGACAACTACAAATATGTTTGGTTTCTGCAGCGTGAGGTCTTCACTTCGCAGATCATCATTGTGGACCATCTTTCTGATGGACTCTTGGATGTGAACAGTTTCATCCTGGATAGTAGCTCTGATGCTCACTAGTTCTCAGCCTCCCTCCTTCCTCTTAGTGTAGACCCTCAAGGTTCTGGATTTAGGGTGAAAACCTCCATTTGAGTATTTTGAGGAGCTTTCTTGTCTTGATATCAGTGGTCTTTATAAAGAACCATTTTTAAATGCTCTTTATGGAGGACCGCAAGGGTCACAGAAATTAAAATAAAGTATTTTTAATTGAAAGTTATTGTACTATTGAAACAGGAATTCATCAAGTGGTTTTCAAATTCATGAGTTCATCCATGAACAAATCGAGGAATTATAAAAAGATTCTACAAATGAATCTGTACAAAAGTTTATGCTTTAACCCTCGGTTTCTGTTAATTTTAAGATCCATGCAGCCTACTTTGTCTCCAAAACAGAAATGCAAATAAGTGTTGATAAAATAATCATTTTTATACTTTTTTTCAACTCATATCCCTTAAACAACTTCAGCCCTGACCACTAAAAAAAAAGAATTTAAAAATTAGACGTGTTACCCTTTTAATGTCAGTTTTTGTTCAACATGTCATATTTATTGATAAAGTGTTCGTTCTTAACAGCTGAGTCTATTGGAGTGAAAAAACACGCCATTTTCACCTCCTTTTCTCGAGCCTCATCCTCGACCAAATCAAATGAATCAAATTCATTTGTTCATATTAAATTAATTTTATATATAGGAATATAAAATCAGAAGATATATGTGAGATAGGAATCAAGTGTTTTTCCTCCTCTAACTAAAATCTGACCGTGATTATACTGATATAAAAATAACTGCATATTTGAGATGCGATATCTTCTCACCTAATGACCTGAAGGACCTGTTCATCCTCATTCATGTCCATCCACCTGCTCTGAAGTGAGGAGAAAGTTGAAATTGTCCAAATGTCCCCCTCTCTTTGTCCCACACTGCAGAACTTGGACATCAGCTTATCGACTGTAAAAACTCACGTCATGCCCGGTTATAAACATGGACGCAGATTCGCACCCGTGTACACACGCACACATATCACACATATCCCACTCTTAGACATCCATATCTAGTGTCATGTAAAGTTTCCTTCATTTCTGATGATGTTTAGTGGAGGAATCAGCGCTTTAAACACTCTCAGTCCATGAATGAAGACTTGCGTGCTCAGCGGCACTGAAGGGGTTAAAGTGATGTGCGGCTCAGTCTGTATCACTGTGGGAAAGTCAAATTTAGAGCCCTGCTGATCGACTGACTGCAAAAAAAAAGGTTGGAATATGTTGTTATGGAGCCGTAAACACACGGTCAAAAAAACTGTTTTTAATGGAAGTCTATTGGCCGATTTATGGACAAAGAAGGGTGGGTGGAGCTAAATGTGGCGACAGAGAACTACAGGTGACACAGAGTTTTGTTTTGTTTTGTAATATGAAAAATAATAAGAACTCTCACCAAATTTGATGCCCCAATCTTTAAAAATGTGACTGTCAGCTCAAAATAAAGATGAAAAAGAAAGACAAATGTCCTCAAAACGGACAGAGGAGGAACCGAGGGTTAAAAATACATGAATGTGTTCCCTAATAGTTTAAAAATCAGTCTGAAAATGCAGTTTTAAAAAAGAGAAATAAAGAAGTGAATTGACAATCTGAAGTAAGAATACAGCTTTTAATCAGACATTTAAAGGACAATTCCTCTTTTTATTTACATTTCCTGTCTGCTTCTCCTTTTCCTGTTAGCTAATCGATTATCAAAGTCTTTTTTCTTTCTGTTCCTCCTCTCCATTTTTCCCTCCCTCACACTTTAGGCCTTGAGCTGGTAAAACCATAGACTGTATAAACTATGGACAACTTGGTTCCGCCTACCGCCTGTATACGGATTTGAAGCCAAAAAGCTCTCGGTATTTCCGGGATTTTTCTTCATTTCCTGTAACCAGCGCTGTGCGGTAGCGTTGTGCGCATTCGGCCGCGCAGTCGCAGAGAGTCACTGTGATGACGCTCGGCTCAAACAGCGTATCCGCCGGGAGATCTATGCAATCCCTGAACGCCCATAGGCTGTACCAGGTGTCAATCATAGCAAATATGAACCCCCTAAAATCTTTTAATAAATGAGCAGTACAGAAAAAAGAGGACTTGAGTACAAACCAGTCTGACAGTAACTACATGTCAACATCACAACCAGGGGGGAGAAAAATTTATGTTCTGTGTAATAAATTTCTAAAGTTGGTCCACAGCTCCATAAGCTTTGCTGGCGGAGGCGGGATTTATGACCTATACTGCAGCCCGTCAACAGAGAGTGCTGTTCTTGGAGTGGCTTCACCCTGCGAGGAGGCAGACGGCGTCCATTCTATATACAGTCTATGGGTAAAACCAGGTAAAACAATGCAGATGAGCCATGAAACAAGCTCTCTGATTGGTTATAACCTGGCCTATTACATGCAGATGTCTGCAGGGAGGTGAAGATGATGGAGGATGAGGAAGAATAGAACTTGTCCAGTGTTCCAGGTGGAAAGAGGTCCAAAGCTGGATATTGTGACTCTGTGGTCATTTCTCAGCTCCCTGATTGATGAACAGACACACAGACTAAAAACAGAGATGATCAGGAGAGAGATGGGCTCATATTTGAAGTTCAAACACATTTGACAGTCCTTTAGCCCACGTCAGAACTCAGAGAAGATGCTTTATTAAACCTGATATTACAAGATGAAGGTTCACATCTAGTTTAATGATCAGAGCAGAACAACATTCAGATCTCCTCCAGATCCTTTATCTCATTCATCCATACAGACCAGGATCAACTCTCCTGGCTGACATGGGAAGGTCTTCTCTTCTTGATTTTCTGCTCTCTTTGTTTGGTGAGCCATCAAACAAACCCTCAGAGCTACAGAGAAACACCTCCTTCATACATCCACCCTCAGTCAGAAACATGGACTCAAAGTACTGGCTGCAGATGAGGGTTCAAAGGAGATCAGATAGTCTTCATTGAGCTTCATCAGCTGAGCTCTACTGCTTTACTGGCACAGCTACATTCAGTGAGAGCAGCAGCAGACCTGTCAGTCAGGATCAGGTAAGCTAAGGGGCTGTTTGAGGACATGCACTGACTTTGCTCTACTTCGTGCCCATCCCAAACTGCAGGAAATCCACCTGCTGTTCCAGGTGTGACGCTCCTACTCCCTCTGCTCTAGCTGACTCTGAATGATCCGAGAAGAGCCTCACACACTCACATGAGTTCATCTGAGAGCTTTCATATCATTTTTATGATGATATGAGCGAGCATGAGCGAGAGAGCGAGCATGAGCGAGTCCCTACTCCTAGCAAAGACTGAAGCCCTTCACGAGGCAAATCAAACAATTACCACACTCAAACTCTGTATCCAAAAACTGTCAGAGGAACTTAAATCAAAATCTACACTACTCACAACATGTATGAACACGCTACCCTGGAAGCCTCACAGCCCAAAGACCTCATCCCGACCGCCATCCACCACAGCACCCAACCAGGACTCAACCTGGACTGAAATGACAACTCGAACTAGAAAAACCAATAACACCATCCCCTGGAACCCGGCTGGGCCTACCTCAAGCTCCACGCCGAGCAATCCACTGCTCCGGTCCGAGATCCTCGCCGGCAGTGGGACGGATCCCTCAAACGATGCCTCCACAGTCCGGTTGGCCCTCTCTAACTGCTTCGAGGCCCTTATGCATCCTCCTAAGCCCGACAGCACCAGACCAAACCAGTCCCCTCTCCGTGGTGACGTGGCAGCGTACTCAACAGCGGGTGCCGGAGCTCCCGTGGCTCCTACACGGCCACCCGACGGAGCCCCCGGACCTTCGTCCTCGTCCACCGATGTCTCCGCGGCGTGCTGGCCCGATGATCTTCTGGCGACCAGCTCCCGGGCGTCACCGAGCGCTGGTTCGAAGAACACCTCCCTGCCGGCTTGCAGAGGGATTCCCGAGTGGCCTGGCACTGGCGGAAGGGACTCTTCTCCGTCAGTGCCTGGTCGTGCTCGGTCTCCCAGAAACCGCCTGGACTACCGCTCTGAGAGCCGGACCGCGTCCTTGGCCGCCCGAAGGAGGTTTCTCCGAGAGGCAGTCCGACGGAACTCCGCCGGGCCCACCACCACCGTCCCAGACCGAAATGGCAGACCATCCCCGCTGCCGCAGCCGTCCACCGCACCTCCGAGTCCTCCCAGCACCGCCATCAGCTCTACTTCGGGCAAAGGAGCCATGCAACCCCCGCCGCTGTTCCCACCCACCACCTTGATCGTCGGTGACAGTATCACACGAGGTATCCGTTTTTTCAACGCCATTACTCATTCTTTCCCCGGTGCAACTGTCGCCGACATCACGACAAAACTCCCCGGTCTTCTTCAGTCACTCCCTATCCACCGCATCATTGCTCACGTCGGCACCAACCACACGGCTCACAAACAATCTGAACTGACCAAAAGGGACTTCAAATCACTTCTCCACATCCTTTAGTGCAGCGGCAAATCTGTTTTTATAAGTGGTCCGCTACAAACGCTATCACGTAGCATTGATCATTTTAGCCGCCTTCTCAGCCTGAACTCCTGGCTTCGTTCACTCTGCAGCACCTCCTCCACCCACTTCATTGACAATTTTAACCTGTTCTGGAACCGACCCCCATTTTTCTCCCATGACGGACTTCACCCAAACAAACTGGGCTATTACACACTTACCGCTAATATCCAACACCGTATACACACCAACTGACTAGCATTGTTTACACTCTCCCTGTCATCCTCTTCTTCCTTGCCTGTCACTACCCCACCTGGAAACAGCGCCCCCCTCCGAGACCCTCGCCCTCACCATCCCCTCCACCGGCTCCCCCAACAGGCCCCAACTGGTACTGCACACCACTCCCATCGCCTCCACTACAGCAAGCTCCCCCTCCCGACCCAAACTGGTACTGCACCTTCCAATCACAGAGACTCTCTGCCATTCTGTCATCTCACCAGGATCTCGCCACAGCTTTTTCATTCAAACAATCACAACTACTAGACCCTCCTGCTCAAATCCCATGCATGCAAAACAAAGGACAAGAAATCAAACAAACCTCCGCTGCCTTCCCCCTGCCTCACTGCCCACCCCACAGCCCCCTCCCCTAAAGGTGGCCCTTCAAAACACCCTCTCCTTCAACAACAAAGGACACATCATGGCTGACTTTTTAACAGACAATAACCTGGACTTTCTCTGTACAACCGAAACCTGGCACAATCATCTCGACCTCTTCCCACTAAACCAAGCCACGCCCCCCGGTTACTCCTTCCTACACCAACCCCGCCTCACTGGACAAGGCGATGGCGTCGCATTCATCCACAAGCAGACCCTCAAGACCACCCCCATCCCCACCCCGTCTGTCCACTCATTTGAACACATTTCAGTCAAACTCCCTGGCCCCACCCCACTGGTCATTGTCACCATCTACCGCCCTCCAAAACCCCACCCATCATTCCTTTCTGATTTCTCTGAACTGGTCACCCAACTAAATACCATCTCATCCTCTGTCCTGTTACTTGGAAACCTCAATTTCCACATCGACAACCCCACCTGCAAACAAGCCTCTGATTTTCTGGATCTATTCGACACCCTCAACCTCACCCAGCATGTACACTCCCCCACCCACTCCCACGGCCACACCCTCGACCTGGTCTGCTCTACAGGCATCTCCATCCACCATCTCTCCACCATCAACCTCTACATATCTGACCACCTGGCCGTCACTTTCACAGTGAGAAACGACTCATCTCCTTCAGAAACCTCAAATCCATCTCGCCACAGGACATCTCCGCCTCCCTATCTATCACCCTCACCGCATCCCCTCCCCCACCTCCTGCCAAACTTGCTGACCTACTCAACTACTACAATAACACTCTATCCTCCTGCCTGGACCAGCTTGCGCCCCTCAAAACAAGAACAGTTTCATTTATACATTCCGCCCCCTGGTTTACCTCAGAACTGCACAAAATGAAATCTCACAAACTTCAACTAGAACATCTCCACCACAAAACCGGCCTCACCGTCCATCTCCAAGCTTACACTGACGACCTCCACCTATACAGAACAGCCCTCAAGTCCGCCCGCTCATCCTATTACTCCAACCTCATCCACTCCGGCTCCAGCAACCAAAAGACTCTTTTCACCACAATCAAAAAACTTCTCCACCCCATAGACACCATCTCCACCACCTTCACCCCGAAAAAATGTAACTCATTCCTCTCATCTTTTCAAACCAAAATCAACACAATCTACAACTCCCTTCCCCCACCTTCCATTCCCAGCTCCTCCCCTCCTCCCCTCATCCCATCAGCACTCTCCCGTTTCTCACCTGTTTCTCCAACCGACGTGACCAACATCATCTGCTCCATGTCATCATCCACCTGCATCCTGGATCCCATCCCATCCTCCCTCATCAAGCACTGCCTCCCCGTCATCTCCCCCATCATTACACAGATCATCAACTCCTCCCTCAACTCTGCAACTGTTCCCCCTTCACTCAAACTGGCAGCTGTCACCCCCATCCTTAAAAAACCTGGACTCAACCCCGACGATATCAATAACTTCTGGCCCATCTCCAACCTCCCTTTCCTGTCGAAAATCCTGGAACGAGTCATTGCATCACAGATCAAAACCCACCTCAACAATAACAATCTTTATGAACTGTTTCAATCAGGATTCCGCACCCACCACAGCACCGAAACTGCCCTCATCAAAGTCACAAACAACCTCCTCTCTGACTCCGGCCAACTCTCTATCCTCATCCTCCTTGACCTCTTCGCCGCTTTTGACACCATTGACCACGCCATCCTCCTGTCCCGCCTACACTCCCTCCTCAATATCACAGACACTGCTCTCAACTGGATCCATTCATATCTCACAAACCGGAATCACTTCATCCATATCAACAACTGCTCCTCCACAACTGACCCCGTGTCCCAAGGTGTCCCCCAGGGTTCGGTGCTTGGTCCTCTCCTCTTCATCATCTACCTCCTCCCTCTCGGCCACATCCTCCGTCAACACAATCTCCATTTCCACTGCTATGCTGATGACATTCAATTGTACATCTCTTCCACGTCCATCACCCCCCTGACCCAACGCTCCCTCTCAAACTGCCTCACTGATGTAAAAAACTGGATGGACAGCAACCTTCTAAAGCTCAACTACAACAAAACAGATCTCATCATCATTGGCCCAAAATCCCTCACCTCCACAGTCACAGACTTTCATCTCTCCATTAACAACTCCACCCTCTCCCCCTCCCCCCACTGTCGCAACCTTGGTATTCTCTTTGACAGCAACCTCACATTCACACAGCATGTTAAGCAAATCACCAAAACAGCCTACTACCACCTCAAAAACATTGCCCGCCTCCGCCCCTCCCTCACCTACTCTGCAGCCGAAACCCTCATACATGCATTCATCTCATCCCGTCTAGACTAATGCAACAGTCTCCTTCACGGCACTACCTCCACTCTCCACAATAAACTTAAACTCATCCAGAACTCTGCCGCCCGCCTCCTCACCCATACATGCTCCCACCAACACATCACCCCCGTCCTCCAGAACCTTCACTGGCTCCCCATCCCCCATCGCATTCAGTACAAAATACTCCTTCTCACCCACAAAGCACTCCACAACCAGGCCCGCCCCCCTACCTGCAAGATCTTCTCCACCCCTACCCCCCCCCCCCCCCCCGCACCCTCTGCTCCCCCGATTCCAACCTGCCAACCTCCTCACAGTTCCCTCGACCAAGCACAGAACCTGGGGGGACAGAGCATTCTCAGTCACCGCCCCCACCCCCACCCTATGGAACTCACTCCCACTGGACCTCAGAAACTGCTCCAACCTTACCAGATTCAAAACCCAGCTCAAAACTCTCCTTTTCCGCACTGCTTTTTATCTTCCTTAGCCCCCCCGATTGTTGATTTTACCTGATTTTACTTGATTTTAATTGATATTGATGTATTTTATTGTATATTGATGTATAATTTTATTCATGTACAGCGTCTTTGAGTCTGAGAAAAGCGCTTTACAAATAAAATGTATTGTTATTATTATCTTCATTCATATTTAGAAGAAGAGAGCCCACTACTTCATCTCTCTATCTGCAGACAAGCTTTCAAGTCTTTTTAGAAGGAGCTTTTTAGACCAAAGTGTGGACAGCTGCCCTAAACGAAGAAATGAAGGTCTTTTTCCAAAGGGTCCAAATCAAGTCTCCATGTTGTAGGACAGACCAACAGCCAGCCTTTGCTCCTTGAATCTTGTTGTTGTTTTTCTGTGAGTTTCTGTCAGAAAGACTCAGAAAAAGTGACAGAGTGATGGAGACTGGTGGCTCAGATGAGTTTCAGCCTGTTTCTCTGTCACAGGGACAAACTGAGGAGCTCTGCTTCATGTTGGACAGCAGGTAGGACTCATGTTGGACACTCAATCATTCTGACTGTGTTTCTTCCTCCAGGGTGGACCATGGTGGAGAGCAGTGGTTAAAACCTGGTGTGAAGAAGTGTAAGTGTGGAATCAGTTTGACTCCTGATGACCAAACAGCAGACTGTCAGCTAACAAAGAAGAAAGCCTTCAGGTGTGTCTGATGATAACCTCCTGCTGTGTTGTGTCTTTTTCTCTCTGTCAGATTTCTGTGAACTCGCACTAGACTCAAACACAGTAAACGGAGAGCTCAGACTGTCTGAAAATAACAGGAAGGTGACATATGGTGAAGAGGATCAGTCATATCCTGATCATCCAGACAGATTTGACTTCTGGCCTCAGCTTCTGTGTAGAGATGGTCTGACTGGTCGCTGTTACTGGGAGGTTGAGTGGAGAAGAATGGTTTATATATCAGTAAGTTACAGAGGAATCAGAAGGAAAGGAAAGAGTGATGACTGTGTGTTTGGATCTAATGATCAGTCCTGGAGTCTGATCTGCTCTAATGAAGGTTACTCGGTCCATCACAATAGAGCAGTCCTCTGTCTCCCCTCGTCCTCTGTCTCTCACAGAGTAGCAGTGTATGTGGACTGTCCTGCTGGTACTCTGTCCTTCTACAGCGTCTCCTCTGACACACTGATCCACCTCTACACCTTCAACACCACTTTCACTCAACCTCTCTATCCTGGGTTTGGGCTCTGGTCCTGGTTTGGTTCCTCAGTGAGTTTGTGTTCTGTGTAGGAGGGAGAGTCTCCTCCTCTCTACACAAACAGCAGCTGAAGAACAGTCGACCCTCTGCACTTACACAAACTTCAGCTGATTATCTGACTGTTTGTATCCTGTCACATCAGTCTGAATGTCTGTTATCAAAGAGCAGGACTCCATGTCAAACTGGCTCACTGAACTGGACTGATTTCTGTCTCTATGGGGGAAAAATCTGCCTCATTCAGCACATTTTTCTTCACTGTATTGATCAGAAAGTTTGTCTGAACAGTCAGAGTCAGACTCCTGAAACTCTTCTTTACCTGCACAGGTGTTCATACCTGTGTTTAAACTGATGAAGGTCATGTCCTCATGAGACTGCAGGCTGGTTCACACACACACAGAAAAATCAGAGCCAAGCTGAGAGGAGGATTAGAAAGAAGTGAAGACAGAAAACATGAAAATCTGGAGCCGCAGCAGCAGACTGTAAACAGAAGAGAAAGTGAACGTCACCTCTTAACCAACAAACCTGCTTTAAAAATCATTACAACTCAAATCAAAGAGAAAAATCACAATGAATGAAAAAGGAAGGGTGAAAAATTCAAGAGGAGTAATACAGGTGTAAGAATTGATTTAAGGACGTTTATGAAATATGACATGTCAAAGTTGTAACAAGAGTCAATGGGGAATGATGTGTTCTCCTCTGGCCGTCATATATGTTAACTATGAGTAACTGTCGGCAACGTAGGACATTTCTAAACTGACTTTTAGTGCAAATTATACCTTTCAATTTCCTCTCTTCAGACTATATTATTCAATTTGTCTTTTTAAAACATGGGTTATGCATGTAAAAGTCATAAAAAAAAGATGCTTTATTAAAAGAAAGGACTGTGTGCATAGACATACATATAAACGCCTTTCTTACATATATCTATGGCTGTGTGATTCTACATGTTGAGACCATAGACTGTATATAGAATGGACGCCGTCTGCGACTTTACTGTTAAAATACTGACTTCAATCTGGAAATCACCTCTTCGATGAAAACTTTATTCTGGTGAAAATAAACTCAAACCTCTTCATTCGATATTTTGATTCTTGTTGATTTATTTTCAACACATTTATGATGAAAAATAACTCAATTTTTTTATATTTAAGACTGTAATCTTAAAAATCTACAACTGTGAATTTATGATTTTAGTGTTTTTAAAATTACAACTTTAATTTGTGGATGTTTGTCATCTTTTTCCTAAATTTACATGTTTAAATAAAGACGTTGATTGCATGAATTCGTTCGATTAATCTTGTCAAAATGCCAAGAGTACCCAGCTGCAGCCAAGATGGCGGACCCAGAAGATGAACTTCCGCAGTACTCACTCAGAATTACTTCTCGTTGGGGGACTTCCGTCGCCGAAATCTTTCGCCAAAAGTTTGTTTTTTGGTCACATCCATGCTGTACGTTTCTAACGGAATTAATTCGTCCAGCTAAAAAAAACAAACAACATGTGGGAAGGTTATTCCAATGATTGATTTTTTTTGTTAAAAGGGACTTCCGGTAGTCGGATTTAGTCGCTGGAAGCTTTTTTTTCACTCCGTTCATTCCGTAAGAATTGAATTTACTGTTGAGCTAAAAACCAAAATAAAACCTTTTTGTATTATTTATGACTACTGTTTTGTTCTGATTTAATACTGAAGTTTACAGTAATATTTATATATATAGACTGATGTCCTGATAGCCTGATAATTATACAGCAAACATAATTTATGACATGGTGTGCTTCCTGGTGAGCCTCTTCAGGATTGCTTGACTATGGAAAATCCAAGTATACAATAATTGTAGAGACACAAGACACATGATCTGTTTAAGATTCAGAAGAGCCATCTAGCAAAAACAATTGCATTGCGATATCATTACAGACTGTGTAAAGAAACGGGAAATTGTCATACAACTGCTTCAAAGATTTCTTTAATACTTTTAAAACAATAAATTGTAAACACAGTAAAAAAAATATAATCATATATACATATACAGGCTTCCATGTCCCATAATTGAGAGCGTTGCCGTCGGTGTGGTTGGGGGCTTAAAATATACTGCCACAGGCCATCATCTGCTCCGCTCTGAGTCGAGTGATGCCATGCTCTTGAAGTGCTTTGATCAAACGCTGAAAAACAGTCAAATAATGTGAACAATTGAAGTTATTCAGTATGAGTTAATTGTTGTTCTTGAGCTTTCCAAATGAATAAAAACAACCTCTTAACAATATCATCAATTTTCAAAGCAAGCTACATAGTTTGATCTACTCACCTCTGGGAGCATGACATCAAAGACAAAATCAAGCAAGTGAATCTCGCCTCTCTTGATGTTTTCGGATATGGTTGTTGCCTCCTCAATTAACCGCAGGAGCTCAAAGATCTATTGAAGAAAAACATAGAAAGTGAACAGCTTTCAAATGTAACATCTCTGAGAGTAAAAATACTCATGATGGATGGCATTTTTACTTACGCGCTGCTCACTCCAACATAGTGTCCTTATCTTTAGATGCTGCTTGAGCCGGAGTGAGGTAGCGGGTTTCCTCCAAAGAAACATCCTGCCTGAGCAGATGTTTCCAGAAAGCAGATCATCGTGTAATGTCTGAAACCAAAGAGCAAGAGACAAACATGTAATCATCTGAAAAAGAAACGGTGGCTTTAACAACTGATAGTGCATTCAAAAGCAACCTTGATCTGTGTCTTAGAAAAGACAGCATCAATTCCTCCACTGTCAACAGCATCCTTGATCCTGCAGAGAAATAAGAAAAAGAGCAAGCCCTCATTTTTCATCCTTTGCGTCTCGTATTTTTGACTGATACTATGTTTCCTTGATAAATTATGTTATACCGAGGATGCTCAATGGAGTCCTCGCAGCCACAGTCAAAGGGCTCCATGTCAATTCCGGCACAATCTTGATGCAGCCAGCCCCTGCACGTCTTGCACTGGACCCATTTTATCAATTTTACCTCAGGGTAAAGCAATCTGCTCAAATGAGAGACAAACTTAATATTAAACAAACACGCTGTCCAATTGATTATACCTCTGCAGCACATTTGAATGTATAAATAATTTTACCACATGATTTGTGCAAATAAACTATATGTAAAAGTGGTCACTTCATGGAAAATCACTGAATAGGCCCCGATAATTGCATTTATTAAATTGAGTCTGCAACAAACCTCTCTCCTGTGTTGTCCGATGTCTGGTAGACACAGAATTTCATTGAATCTGCCATGCACACTCTTTGGACATCAGATGTCGTCTGTGTCATGGTTCCCTGGACAAGTCAATCTGAAAAGTAACATCAATTACCAAATACATCGAGACAATGTTGATCCATACAACTGTGTGCATTTTGAAGGACTCCGACTGAGATAATACTGTTTTTAGAAGGCAATTTTCTAACCTCTGTGTCCTGCTGCTCGGCCTCCCTCTTAAGACTGAAGACCGGAGTATGCTTTCCAGCAATAAGCTCCTGACATTCTTTGGTCCAGTGGGCAAAGATTTTCCCACAACTGTAATGACAATATATCTTTAAGTACAATATATTGATTGTCTTCCAGTTAATTAGGGCATCTAGTTTACTTAAACTGTCTACCTGTTCAAAGAATTGTTTTTCAAGAGCAACAGGTACCACCATCTCCGCAAAACAGGCATGTCATGCTGAAATTGTTGTTTGTATTTCATTTTAGTGCACAATACAAAATACAGCCTTGAGGATGACACTGCGTGTTGAAAAGTACTTACAACTGAGTAGTCAAACTGTGACTCCATAACGATGTACATGGCAGACTTAAAAAAAAATATGAGACAACATGTGAGATAACTTTAAAAAAGTCCATGTTGGTGTAGCGATTTGAAATGAGCCTCACAAGGCCGCACCAAAATAATACTGTAGCGATTGGAATTTATAATAAATGTCTGAAGATTAATAATCTCAAATTATGACATTTATGCACTCGTTGAAAGGGGCACCACCCACCCTTAATGGTGGGAAAATAAAGAAAAACAAAAGTTTAATTCAGAAATCAAACATCAAGTCAGTTTTAATTAATCAGTCTCATATCTTAAGTCGAAATTCTAATTTCAGGGACTCCACTTCTGGAAGAACACTAACAGACAGGAACTTAGAAAAATAATGATCTGTTTATTACAGGATAAATGATGGTACAACATACATGTAATAAATGATGATAAGATAATGAAGATAAATAATAATAGGTGAATAAATAAAGATTCTGAGTCAGGCTAGGAGCACTAAAGTTAATGATAGTGAGTGAATATGCGCTAACATATTAACCTACACTAACTTTGGTGTCGAGATAAACTCGGATGTGGATTTGGAGGAATCTAAGATTACCAGAATAAGTGGATATCTGAGTTATGAACGCATGAGACAGCACCAGCCCTCTTTGGAGCTCTGGAGGTTTGCATA